TAACAAATGGATTTGGGTTTGTACCCATCCTCAAATGCAAATTACAATTTGGCACCTAAACTTAATATATATGCATATTTAGTACCTAAATTTAATTTTTCTTGCATATAAGTCCTCAAAATATCGATTGAAAATTACATTTTAGTACCTACATTTCGATACCTAAACTTTTCATGTTTTACAAACAGGTCCAATTTTTGTATGTGTAGTTAAAACACCCTCAAGTAAATGAATATCCATATCCAACCCATACCCATTTAGATTATGGAAACAATATTCATACCTTACCCAAACCCATCTACAAACCCTCAAACCTATATGTATTTCATCAATACCCAACCCATTATCAATGAGTTTACTTGGGTTTGGATATGATTACCCATTGGTGGATAATTGTTTCAATATTCTCATTTAATCATTCTTAAAATGCGGTTGTTTGATGTGTATATTTGAGTGTCTATTTTGTATGAAATCCTTCAATTGTCCAACCCAAACCTTAGCTACATTCTTCTCCCTTGATGATAAATCGTGAAATTGAGTTGAGTAGCCAAATCGGTTGCATCGAGCATACTCATCACTTCTTCCGATTTGATTACCATCCTGGATACTAATAGTAATATTTATTTTGACATGGATTTACTTGTATACAATATGCTAATAACATCTAATGGATGAATCATTGGCTACCCTTCTCATTGTAAAAGAGCAAGAAGATAAACCTAATAAATGTACATTTCAAAAGTACAATTAGTGATAACTATAATAACCATTGATGGCATGTAAAAGGAACAATGCCTTAGGGAAACATTTAATGGTAGATACAATTGAAGGGTGCAAAAGAAGCACTTGTACTGTATTCTCTTCCCCCATTCCTTCTCAATGAAAAAATGTGATTAATTATGAGCAATTATGGAATTTTGGTGTCTTCCTAAATTTGGTATTTAAATTCATTTTACTATATTTCGTACTTATTTGATTTTCTCCCCATTTCTGGATGAAAGCAGCATATTTGTGTAATGTAATCATCTATTTATATATTTGGTATATTATTAGTAAAATTGTTTCAATGTGCCCGAATGGTAGAGTTGTGGGTACAAATGACCCCATAGATATTAATCTCTTCACCTTCCATGCTTTTGATTTTTTCAAAGGATGGAATAAATGTAGAGATGGGGTATATTGTACTTGTGTTCTTTCTATTTCCAAGTTTGCAGCTTTTAATTTTTTTCCTTACCTTACAGAAGGAAGTCTTTCCTTTACTGTCTTTAAACAGGACATTCAATCATGATATCAAAATTAACTATAATTGATTTTGAAGTGTAGCTTATAGTGATGCTAAATGGGAGAAATTATATCACTTACATTTTTACATTGGAGTTTTACCACTGATGCAAATTGAAAGGTTATTTACTGTTTATACATTTTCATCTGCATTTTTAACTAAAAATATATGGCATGCAATTTGATCATACATATATAGCAACCATCATCTAGGATTGTTTTGGGCGGAAACCCTAGTAATAAAGTAGTTAGTCTCATCATTTTTAGAACTAGTATTTGTAAATTAAGATTGTGAATAATATAAGGTTTCATATGATACAAATGCTCCACTAGATCTCTTCTATGTATGTATACACTTGATCAGATCGGCTTAAAAGAGGGAGGAGGTTGCAAGAATTGGATCTGAATGGGATTAATTTTATATTTCCATGGTTTTGGATTTGGATTTGTAGATCTAATCCAGCTAATGGGATGAGCATAATAAAGATTTATTCTTCATCCAAATCGGTTACCCTCAGCATGTATATAACAAAAATAGGAGGCTGGGCCAGTAGTACTATACATTACCACCAATGAATATGATAGCTAGAGAGGGTCACATGACACTACCTAATAATTATATATGTGATTGATCTAGTTTTCATTTATTTACTTATTTTAATCTCTGTTTTGTTTTCTTGGCACATGTAGATGGAAGAAGAAGAAGAAGATGAAATAGTAGTGGAAGGTGCAGAAGAAATGGGTGAAAAATATAGAGACAAAAATTTATGAACATGGTTGTTGGTGGGTTGTGCATGTAGATATAATTAAGGTTAATTTAAAAGTACGAAATATGGTCTCTTCCCATGTTGGCACCATATTCTCTAGTTATTAGTTATTACTATGCTATTTATAGAGATTGGCTTTTTATTGCCCAAGTTTAGAAATATGGGTGGAGAGATGGGATGCACATGATTCAATATGTGAACCATGTACTACAAACCATTCTTATTTATTTATTTAAGCAAGTGGCAGCTAGCACAAGACGTTGCATACTTGCATTGGTTCGAAATTGACCAATACATTTTATGTATCGGAGCTATGTCTTACAAAATGCCTAGTAGAGCAAGTGAGCTACTTCGTCTAGGTACATTTGCATTTGATCCCAGGGGCGGACCTAGGTTGGTGGTAGGTTTGTTGGTTGACAAACCTTGATTCAATTTTAGAACAAATTTTTTTTGTAAAATTTTGATTTATTAATGGTGGTATTTGAATTCAAAATTATTTGACAATCCTTGTTAAATTTGTTTCATTGTTGAACACCCTTGATGTAATTCTTGGGTCCGCCACTGTTTAATCCTAAGTACTAGTCTTCTTATACTGTATGTGGATTTCATTTTATGGATGGAAAAATAACAGTGAAATCAATTTAAAAAAAAGAGAAATGAGAATATACAATGTCATGAACTTAATTAAAGGACAACATTTCGAAGTTACGTTGTTGTCAAGGAGTTATGATAAAATATATACAGTTGTGCAAATTAAATACGGAAACTTTTGTAACCATATTGGTGAAATATTTCATTAGGCTTTGAGTTCGGAATTTTCATAATGAAGCATTGACATGTTTGAGGAAACATTTCTTCATCATTTTTGTTTTGTTTTTCTTCCCTAACTAGCCATCATTGTGTTAAAATGAGTAGCCACTAGATTACACAAAGATAGACATCACGATTTATGGTCGCTTGGAATTATATGAAATTGCAAATAAATAATCATGTCCAATTATTAACTTGAGATCTAAAAGAGGAGAAAGGAAGGGAAAAGACCGAGTGAAGAATATTGGAGAACCAGTGAGGAATCATCTTTTTGTTGGTGGTACTTAGGCACACGTGAGATGGATTAGCTTTCGTTATGAGAAAATTTAGATTCAAACACTTGGCCAACTCATTTATCTGCACTCGAATTATTAAGAGAAATTGATGATAATTAACCAATGTTTCATAAGTGAAACATACTAGAATTTATTTAAAATGGATTGATTGTTGTTTTTGCACACGTCATTTTACAAAGAGCCTAAAAATTATATTATACATAAAGGAAAACCTTATTATTCTCCTCTAACCATGAATCAATTAATTTAATTATGTATGTAGTAAATCATGCATAGATAGATATTTTGACATAATAACTATCTATGCTAAATAAAGATGAATAACATTTCATCGAACTATTATATTTGTGATTTTTTTTTATAATTTGAAAGGTTTTTTAAATGAAACACTCAACCAAACATATTCCAATATTCATAATTCCGCAAAAATGATAGCATATATTACACTCAACAAAACAATCATCCCGGTCAAAATCAACTCTTGATTTACCTTTCCATTGAGATGACGAGGCTCAATATAAACAAATTACAATTGATCACCATGGGAACTTGACCCAGTAATCCGGAGTCATCATGAGGTGTGGTGTAATTTCGATTAATTAGTTCCAATTTGGCTAATGCAAAATCCACATCAAATTGCATTCACAAGTCCTTTCTAATAATTTCCCATCACCCTTAGGCTTTTCTAGTTCACACGGTCTCTTGTCCTCTTCTGTTTATTCAATTATTTTTAAATATGAGGCTTAGTGGAGATTAGCTCTCAATAATAACAATTGTTTTCCAAATCTATGTCCTACTCATAATAATTCACAATCTATATGTCCATTCTGTTTTGGCATCTTCTTATGATATGCATATTCTCATCCATACACATGCGGATGCCGATTCATCATAATACCTCCTTTCCTTATTAGTTGAGAAGATAATATGAAGTTTGAAGCTTAGTCATGCTTTCTATCGTGACTAAATACTTCGGACCAAGATGAATTTTATTATTATAGATAGGTTAGGGATGGCAAATTACCCACCCATGGGTAATTATACCCAAACCCAAGTAGATCCATTGATAATGGGTTGGGTATGTGTGAAGTGCATATGGATTTGGGGGTTTATAGATGGGTTTGGGTAAGGTATGAATATTGCTTCCATAATCTAAATGGGTATGGGTTGGATATGGATATCCATTTACTTGAGGGTGTTTTAACTACACATGCAAATATTGGAGCTATTTGTAAAACTTGAAAAGTTTAGGTACCAAAATGTAAGACCAAAAAAATGTAGGTACCAAAACGTAATTTTCCATCGATATTTTGAGGATTTATATGCAAAAAAAAAAAATTTAGGTACTAAATATGCATATCTATTAAGTTTGAGTATCAAACTGTAATTTGTATTTGGGCATGAGTACAAATCCATTTGATATAAACCCAAAGTAAATGGGTATGGGTACAAACCCATCAAACTCTACCCATATCCATCTATTTGGATTTCATACCCAACCCAATTGAGTTGGATAGTAAGAAACCCATGTATATGGGCAAAGTTGCCAACCCTAATATAGGTCATGAATTAATATGAATCAACCAGATCCGGGGTTCATAATCCTTTATATGTGCCCTATAAAGACTTGCTTTCACAGTGATTTCGATTATTTTGCTTAACAAGGCCACACTGCCCAAGTGTTTACTCTTTATATTCAAACCCATGCATCACTATTTTATTTCTATAAACTCAATATCATTATTCATCATCATCAAGTAACCTTTAGTTTCTACTACTTCAAAATAGGTAGACTTATGCACGAAAATGGTATAAATTCATTCTAAGACTTCTTACAATAATTCGAATTATCGATATCAGTTTATTAGAGCTTTTGACATGATATTAGAGCTTTTTATGATCAGAATGTCTTGTACGATCCTTACAACCTCCAACATTAATGCTTCGTTGAAGTACAAGATACAATGAATTTGTGCAAACAAACCCCAACAATCTGATTCACGTTTGAGGTAGTGTGTAAGAAAATGACTTAAAAACTTCAGTTATTTTTAATCTTCTCAAACTAATTCGAGATCGGACAAATTGATTCTTGCATATAAAGATATTTGAAAAGGTCAATTTATTGTCCCATCCCCAATAATTCATCCAAAAATGTCCCTAATTTCAGGATTGTTGTTTCTTTGACTTGTACAATTAATGGGTTATCGCATAATAAAGAGTTATAATGACAATGGAAGTGGAAGTATTTATTCACAGAAAAAAGAAGAAGTGGAAGTATATGTTTGCACAAATCCAAATGAAACAAAACTATTAGTATTATTAGTTGTTGGGTCATTTTCTGTCTTTACCTAAAGCATCAAAATTTAAAATATATGTATTTATACAATCCTTGATTAAAAGGTCAATAGTCAAAAAAACATATATGAAATAAACTATTAAAACTTTTTGTGAGTTGGCCTCCCCTGCTTTGCTTCCTCCCAGTATGTTTTCTTGTGCTTTGTACATCATCATAATGTTATAGTATGCGACTGATATAAGGGGAAACTCTGGAATTTAGTGACTATATATGTACACAAGGCTATTTATTCTGTCTTGGGTGAAAATGGTTTCAGTTAAGAGGTCTTTGAACATTTTAGTGATATGAAGTTCAGAATGAGGCCATTTTTGTCGATTTTCTCCTTCGAGTTGAAAGTATCAGCTAATTTAAAGGAGATGATCGATCTCTAAACATCGATCTACAGACTTCCAGATAAACCTATAAAACATACAATAACCAACTTCTCCAATCAAGCACATATTCTTCCATTCCATGTTGATTCTTAAATCTAAGAAGTTATTGTACAACTTCTCCAGTCAAACAGACTTGAAGTCAACTTCCCAACAGACTTACTGGCCATTGCACCAAACTCATAAACACAAAACTCCCTCTTGTATTGGCAAGCAATCCCCCCCTCCACCTCCCGTCGGCCACTGTCATGGCAGCAAACAAGAGATGGACATCGACAACAAAAATAACTGGAGACTATTCTCTTCTGCTTGCTTTCATTGTCATCGTCATCCCACCCATTCATAACCTTTGCTGGCTGAATGGCCTGCCCCAGTCCCACAGATCAACATTCACAATATGGCTGGCAATGCATGGGGTATACACGGATTGATGAAGGATGGTGGGATGATCTCCACTAAATGATCCAACAAAAACAAACAAACCAACCAACACCATATATACATATGCCCACACTTTACTTTAGCATAACAAATGTCTCCCATACCATACATCCTCTAATGGGACGTAATGACTTTGCCTAGCCTTCCAATGCAGTATGTATATCGGCTCATATTTATATGCAGACACATATCACATATGTATAATATGTATTCCAAACAAAAACTGGATTCCAATTTGTGCTCTCCAACAGTCAATAGAGCCTTTAGACGAACGAACATATGGATAAGACCAACGGAATAATGGAAACCACTTTGTTCTTTTGATAATTCTGGGATTTCAATCTTCATTTCAAGTTTCTCAAAGGACAACCTAATGAAATCTCACCAAGTGACTAGAAGAGAGAAAATATACAAAGGTAAACCTGGTTAAAACTGTGAGGACATAGCTACTGTCACCTCCCGAAAATTCTCATCACTGTTGAAGTTAGTGAAGACGTGATAAATTTCATCCCAGTTGATCCACCAGGGAAGTAGGATATTGAATAGTATATAAGTGCCATAACCTACAATTTGCAGGAAACATCAACTTCAACATGCAACCAAGAGCAGCAATTAAGGTTTCATTAAGTCGACATCTTGAACATACTATCTAGCAGTTACCTGTATCACAGAGAAGAGTACTGAAAGAACGTAGCTGTGAAGCACCATGGAGACGTATATGGTACCAGCCATACTGCCTAGGAACCCCAATGAAAATGGAAGCCTCTGCATACGTTTTCATTTAATGTTAGAGGGAAAATCATCAGAATTAGGGTGTGCAAGAAGGAGTGCATATGATCATGTATATGCACCATTCTTGATAACATACCTCTTTTGATATCATATGACCAAATTGATTCTGTGGGCCTTTGAGTGCAAATAATGACCCAATGATAAATATACATCCGAGAGTAAAGCATATTGCAAACTTTTGAGGCACTAGTACAATCACCGGAAGGAACAGGGCAAAAGCAATAAAAACAAAGAACACGCCAGTCGCTAGGAATAAGCCGAAGTACATGAGAGCTTTCCCGGAAGGTATGTTGCTAGTAGCTGACTGCAAGTTACCAGGCATTTCTCTGACTCCCTTAGAAACCCTAGACAGATAAGAACATGCCAAAACAAAGATAGAATGAATTACTAGTCCATTTGCTCACTTCCATCAGAATTGCTTCTCCACAATAAAATAGAAATGCACTCACTAGTGTATAGCATTTCAAAATTTATACATATGTATGTAATCGACTCTTAAAGCCAGTTAAAGCATCTCAGAATAAATGACTTGCTTCAGTTCTGATAGATGACATGTCAACACAAGGCATAACTATCTTTGCTGCCTAGGATTAGACAGCTCATAGTACATCTGCCTCATTATTTTCATGAAGTGACAATTTCCTTAGTGACAGTCCAACGCCTCTAAATCAGCTAGCAACTTCTCAGGCATGATACTCCAATGAATAAACAATGATTCTCTTCGCATAGGCAGAAAATCAGGAACTATTTGAGAATTGATCATGAAAGGATATTGACTTGTACATCAAGTTTGTAACTTCTGCTTATCTGCTTATTAAAGAATCACAATCCAAGAATGTGGAAAAAACCAAAAAGAATACTTCTGAGTCAGCTGAAGAAAACTGCTAATCATAAAAGCAAATTTGAAGTTTTCAATTGCTTTTCACATTTTAATTAGAACATCACAACCTAGATATCCCATAAATTGATTGATGACTCCTATGTTCAGAAAGTAATTAACTTTGCAACCTTTAGGAAACAAATAATAAAGAATCATAAACTTCAATGAAGTTCCAGCCAACAAGTTCATCGTTTGTGTTGCTCAAGACTACTAGAAGGCTCTCAAATATAGACTTAAACAATGTCTACAACTCGATGATCTCTATGGTTCCTATCGACTCCCAAGCAACTTTCCAACACCAATTTGCTAATTTCTTTATGCGAGATCGAAGGGTCTGCCAGCAGACTACGAGAATTATCAAACCTCTCCAAACAAAAGCTTCATAGCGGGGAAATGTGGTGCTGCCCTTTCGTATTGGACCATGATGATACAAAAGTATGTTCTCACCAATCCATTCCTATTCTAGCCACCAAAGTTGATCCAACCAACTAAATCTAGCCTTTTCATTAATTCAATCTCAAAGGGCAGCAACGAATTCTAATATCCAGTCACCTTCACCATAGCTCAAACTCTTGCTATCAAAAGCAAATCAAGATCCTAAGGGAAACAGCGTCTAGTCAGCTCATTTTACAAGAATTAGGCAATTTGCAAACTCCACTCCCTAAACCCAGACTAATCTACATCCCTAGATCGACGGAAATCTCACCAGCGCCATGAACGCGGGGAGAAAAAACATGATCAGAACATTTCAACGATACAATCAGAAAAGTTGTAGGGGAGGCACTCACACATTGAAGGTTCCCGAAACCGTTTCGTTGGCGGACCGGACGGCGGATTCAAGATCGAACCCGAGACCCATTCCGCTGCCTTCATCGTTGGCGTTTCTGGACGAGGCATAAGAATTCCAGTCAGCCAAGAGAGACGACGATGTCTTCTGCTGCTGTGGCAGCTGTTGCTCTTCGCTAACGGTACCTGAGAACCAACTCTGTGCCATTTTCTGCATTGCGCTCTGTGCTCCGGAGTTACAAACAGAGTCTACCGCCCTTAACTCGACCAGGAGACGGACAGTTCTACCAGATCAGAATTTCCCGAATTAGGAATCGCAAATGGTGGTTAAGCTTCTGGTGGAGGGAGGTTTCGGGGGTTGGGATGATTGGTTGATTGGTCTCTCTCTCTTCTGCGAAGAACAAACAGTCCGCCTCGTCGAAGCTTCCAAGCTAAGAATTCATGGGGGAAAAACCGGGGTGAAGTACAAAGGCCCAAAACGCTTCTTCTGTATACAATTGAAGCACCAAAGAAAAGCGAATGCGGCGCCGTTTCGGTGGAAGGTAGGCGCAGGACTGGAGAATTCATGGGCTTCAGTTAGACAATGGCCCAAAAAGTTTCCTCTCTATTTAATTGAAGGCCCAGAAAACTGAAATCGGACGGCGTTTCGGGTGGGTGGTAGGCGGACGGTCGTCGACAACGGAAAACCCCTCAAACTGAAAAAACGGATACCAGAAACGGGCGAAACGCGAAATGGTTTGGGTCCTCAATTTCTGAATCGAAACGCTTCTTCGTTATTTAATTGAAGCCCAATAGAAAAGCAAATGCGGGGCCGGTTTAGAATGGAGGTAGGCGCTGGACGGGGGAAAACATGGGCTTCGGTTAGACAATGGCCCAAAACATTTCCTCTCTATTTAATTGAAGGCCCAGAAAACCGAAATCAGGAGGCGTTTCGGGTGGGAGGTAGGCGGACGGCTGGCGAAACGGGAAACTTCCGCAAAGTGAGAAAACGGGCACCAGAAACGGGCGAAACGCGAAACGTTTCCGGTCCTCAAAATCAAAATCGAAACGCGAGAAATTGACGATAAATTGAAATTGACGAGATTTCGCGATATGACAATATATCGCGGTATTTAGGTGATATATTGACTTTGTGCGATATATTGACCCTGTGCTGAATTGACCCCTCGATTAGCAAGAAAAAAACGAGAAAAAGAACCTAAATCCAGTCGACGATCGCATAGAAAAGCGGGGAAATGTCAGAAAACATACTCCGTTCACGACGTGCGCCAAAATTCCTGCATCCAATTGCAATTTCGATTCCATAATCGGTTCAGCGGCCCAAATTCCAACATCCATTTGTGAACTTGGAAGAATCGAGGCTGCAGTATGTATTCGCGTTTCTGGTTCTTGTGCATTGTTGAACTTGGGTTCGGCCAATCGGGAGCTTTGGTGGAAGCAGAAGTAAGCTACATCTATTCGACTACTCGGCAGAGGGAAAAGTTGAGGGCGGAGAAGAAAGCTACACTGTGACGATAACATAGAATTCATGAAGGGATTGCCGTTGTTGCACAAGCGCAGCTGAGTGTTCAATTCAGGAGCTGGATAATGCCTGCGACTGGGCAAGTTCTGCTTGTTTCTCTTTCGTTTTTGTTTTTACTGGTAGGACTAAGGAGAGATGGCGCGAATTTTGGGCTTCGTTGTTCAAGCCCACGGTCCAGACTTTGAGCCAAGGCCCATATTTTCCCCATCATATCATCACTTTGCACGTGGGCTTTCTTTAATAAACACAGCCCATCCTGCAACCCGACCGACTATCCGGAATCCGAAGCTAAGAGTAGAATAGAGAAGCAGCGCCACTGCTGTATTCCATAGAAACTTCGCCACCATCGCCCGCCGCCTGAATTCACGCTCAGGCTTTCGTCTTGTCGCCTGACCTGCTGCCGTATTGGAAGCATTGTTTGACCGGAAGTCCGAAATCGATTTTTCTATAGACAAACGAGGAGCATCATCAAACGGAAAAGGATTGATCGGGAGTTTCTTACTTTGAGCAAGTGAATTCTTCTTCTTTAAATGGGGAAGAGAAAAGAGCGACGCCGAGCCGCTTTGAACAACACTGGCCGTCGCGTTAAGCTCGATCTCTTCGCGGAACCCTCTGGTACCACAGCTTCCAAACCTCCCTCCCTCCCTCTTCTTTTCAACTATAGGCTTCTGTCTGTTAGTCGTGTCCTGATTGGGCAACCCAAAATCCCTAAATTATACGCTGGCGATTGGTTTGAGCTATCCATTTTACTTGATTCAGCAGCTTGATTGTGTTATGTTTGGATTTTCGCCTTTGTTATTTCTAGAGCTACTTGTTTCATTTGGAGTTGCTCTGCTTCTTTCCTTCAGTTATGTCAATCTGTTGAACTGAGATGCATTTTGTGGTTAAGTTATAGAGTTGGATTTGGCTGTGCACCTCCCTTGCATTATATGCATTCCCTATATTTGTTCGACTACTGTGTAGGAATTCATCTGGTTAAATTGATTTCACATTGAAGTTTAACAATGATTATATTGAAACATGTTTCAGGAGATTTGGGTGGCTCCTCTGTACACGATGAAGTAGTTGGAGGAGGGGATAATGATCCAACACAACGTGCTGGATTACCCAATTCGCCATCATCATCTTCAGGTGGGTTCCGTCAGTTTTCTTCAGAAAGGATATATGTAGGGAAGAGATGAGTTTTGGTGGCTTGTTCTCTGTTGTTAGCCTCCCTCCCGAGTATTTTGTTCTCAGATTGTTAGGGGTGGCTGTGGTCATGGCAACTTCCAATACCAGATCAGGTCAGGGCCCTGCCACAGCAAAAAATAATGAATACTTCCCCACTCTCTAGTGCGCTATTACGAAGCATCCGAGCATATTGCAGCATCTGGGATAGTTTCTTTGCGGTTCGTATGTTTCTGAGCTTTATATGTTTATTTTATCCCTCTGCTGACATTTTGTGTATGTGAAACAGGTTATCTCGGAACGGGGATTCTTAAATATCCGCTGGCACTTCTTTTTAAACTTAGCTGTTGCAATGATTGATACAGTTTTGGTCCAGTTAAATTGATTTTGAAAGAAATTGTCCTAAGCTCCTTTCTTTGTTTTTGGGATACTTGGTTAGTGTATAAGCTGTTGTAGGCTTTACATCATCTGACTTGTTAGTTTCGTTTTTGGTTTTCAGGCCAACAGCCACAAAATCCTCTTCTTTTGCTCGGACAATACAGTGATGATGAGTTGGATGTGGAAAAAGATAAACATCTCATCAATGCCGCTAACAATAGTCCTTCAGCTGATCTTAGTAATCAGGTAAGTTTGGTATATTCTAACTTGGTTACATATAATCTCTCATCTTTGTTTATGGGTTAAGTGACCATGCTGAAATTGCTCTGCCTAATTGTAGGATATACACCCTGCTGAAGGAAATGATAAAGACAGCAATGCATTTCAAGATCCTTTCATGCAATCAAATGATCAGCAGGATATGGATGCAGATCCTACCAATGTTGATGTTATACAGAGTGTGAATGGAGTTGATAATAAGGATCACGATACAACTGTTCATGATGACACTAGCAAATCTTTCATATCAGCAGAAGAAGCATCTGAAGGTGGAGTTTCTGCTCCATTAATTGCTGGAGATTCTGCTCCACTAGTTGCTGGAGATGTGAGTTTAGGCTGGAGGATGGTACTGCATGAGGAGAGTAATCAATACTATTACTGGAACCCTGGAACAGGTGAGACTTCATGGGAAGCGCCCATTGCTTTGGCTCACATGGGATACATGGTTAATCTGGAGGCATCTGTTGCTGAAGATACAGGGAGTCTTCCAGTGAGTAAGAGTCAGAACGATTCCATTTCTGTTGTCGAATTGGCTCATACTTTTCCCGCACCAACCATAGATGGTTTGTCAGGTGTCATTTGCACTCCCTTGAGTGAAGAACCACATAGTAGTATGCAACAAATTTATGCGTCTCGTCAGCAAGTTGAAAGTGAATCTTTGAAGAGTGAAGGTCTGGAAGCTCATTTTCTCCAAAATGAGCTGGGGAGTAACCCCGTTTCAGTTCATGGACAATCAGGTGAAGGGTACACAGCTCAAGATGAACCTAGACATGCTGCAATTGCTACCGATATCCATCGAGAAGGCAGGGATACTTCAACAAGTCTGAGGACTCAATGTCAGTGCTTGTTGGAGAGGCTGAAGTCCTTGAGAGGGTTAGATCACTATTGCTTGCTTCTATACGTTTCTGCTCTTTGCATATTTATATCCTTTTATAAGCTATCGGCTATAGTCCTACGACATTTGTTCTCATTTGTCTTTTCTTTTGTTTCATTGTCTTCTCAGCTTTGACAGATGGCCCCAAGATCATGAACTTATGTTGAAGTACATTATAGAATTAGAGACACGGCTTTCTGACATTGAGTCCCTTTCATCACATGGTTTGCAGTTGCTTCCATTTTGGACGCACACAGAAGTAAGGCTCAAACAATTAGAAGATAAAATTAACAGTGAAATTTATCGGCTTGCTGTATCTGCACAAATGGATGATGATGTTGAGCTAACCCCTGTAGTCTGTGAAGGAAAGCCACAACACCAGGATGGCCTTTTTAATGAATCTCCTGCAGACGCAGCAGGAGGCAGGAAGTCACCTACTACTGTCAATGTGATTGACAGTTCTCATATTGAAGGTGCTTCTGATTCTGTTTCGTATGCTGTTCATACTTCCCCTTCTGAAGCAGCTGGTAAAGTTTCAGAAAATGATGCAATGAATGCAGAGGTAAACGAGACTGCTGAGTTGAAGCCCGACTTAGTCAGCATTGAAGATGTTGATATGGATATTGAAATGGAAGTTGAAGATGCACCTGTAAACTCTACCCTGTCTGAAAATAATATTCACACGGGTGCTGCTCCCTCTGAGCAGTTCATTCCTTCTAATGCACCTTTAGATTACACACCCCTTGTAGCAGGAGAATGGTCAGCTGTTCCTCCTGAAGAAGAATGGATTCCTCCACCACCGCCTGATACTGAACATATTCCTCCACCCCCTCCCGACGACGAACAAGTTCCTCCACTACCTCCTGATGAGCCTCCAGATTCTTCTTACTCTATGCCTGCCTGTTCTGGACCAATGGTTCAATCAGCCTCCTATCCAGAGCACTATGGCTATCCTTATATGGATTCGAACTTCCAATATTATGGTTGTGCATCTAATTTGCCAAGTGGTAGTTTCTATGTGCATGTTGATGGAAGTCAAGTTGCAATCCCACACACATCGCTCTATTATGGCCCTGTTTCAACTACATATGCTGAAACACCTCCTGTTATGGTTAACCCACTCGAGCAAGTAGCATCCTATAACCACCTCCAAACATTGCCTCCTGGGACTATCCTTACCGGCCAAGAATCTTCAAACTTGCCAACAAACGTTGGTACCGTGCAATCTGATTCCAGTTATATTATCAATGCTGCCAACTCAGTAGAATCCGAACAGTATGTGAAGCCCGAGCCACCTTCGAATGTGAACAGCCAGGCTCCTGATGTCAGCAATGATGAAGGGACTGTTTCTAGTTCGATCCATGTTCTTGGTGCTGCTGCAGCTGTATCTGCCCCTTTAAATGCTAAGGTCCAATCTAAAGGTAAGGTTTTGATATGTAGGCCTGCTGGTGATTTTCTAGCCCCATTGGAACTAAGATGCAATTTTCAGTCAATTTGTTGTTCAGATTGTGCCAAGTGCCAACTTTTTTTTATAGCTTTTCTCAGTCTGCCGCTTGACTACTTGTATCTCTCTACTTAGCACCCTAATGGTCATGTATTGTGATGAACTAAGGAAGACTACATTAGACTAGGAACCTGTGCATAGACAAAAGATGATTTTGTTAGCGGCTTATATGTGGATCAAAGCAGGCTTTGTTTTCGACCCAAGTAGCCGGCAAGGCTGCTTTAATTCTGTTGTTCGATTATGGGATGTTCAAGGTTTTGACTTTCGTGCTATCTTTTGTGTTTAGATATGGCTCATGGTAAACGGCTCTGCTAGTGGTGCAAATGAGGCCCTATAATTAGGAAGTATTCTTTAGCTGTTTCACTTTTGCAATCTAAAGAAGTCAAGCCCAAACAATTGGAAATTATCAAAGAAATAATAAATATTGGTCAACTGGCAAATAGTCCATCTTAAAGACCTATTTTGATGCCTGTAGCGCCATTATGTTATGGTTTGCTCAGGTGCTATTCCTTTCATTGGTCAGTCCCTGCCCAAAAGTTTGGAGTGGCCGAGGCTATTTGCTGTAGGTATTGGGGCATTGAATGATTCTTTTGTTTTATTGTGTCTATCTAGCTTATCTTTCAATTACTGACGTGAATTCTCCTTTGAATCAGTTTCTCGTGGCAAGAAGCGGACTGTTGCTGTCTCAACCTCCTTGAGATCTAATAAGAAAGTATCAAGCCTGGTGGACAAGGTATGGTCTTCTATTCCTTGTGCATACTAATGCTTTATAATGCCTAACATATTTCTTATTCATACCCACTCTCTCTTCTTTCCACAGTGGAAAGCAGCGAAAGAGGAGTTGAAAGAAAATGATGAAGATGAACCGGAAAATGCACTTGAGATCCTGGAGAAGAAGCGGCAGAGAGAAATTGAGGTTTGTAAGGCGATGTTGTTCCTTTGTTTTTTAATTCCTCTGGTTCCCTTGCACGCTTTCCTTAAGTACATATCTCATTGTAGGAATGGCGTGCTAAGCAAATTACTAGTGGAGAGGCGAAGGATAATGCAAATTTTCAACCTCTTGGTGGCGATTGGTAAGTTAACAAGTGGACATTAGTTTATGGGACTCTGATGAACATAAAAAGGATCAACTTAGATGGAGGGACAACCAGTGCTCTCTCTTTATAGTCTGCATTCAGCTGAAATTAGTGTGAACAGTTAGCTGGTTGTCTCTTACACGTTCTCAATGTTCTTCCTTCATGGCCGACTTGGATGTTATCTGCCATCAGCAATCTACTTGTATGGTATACGGAATACAATTGGATAGATTTATCTTCTCTGTGGTATCTTGCATGCTTTTCATGCTGCTGCATTATTTTCAAAATTTCCATTATGTACACTTCTCATAAATTCTTAGGCATTCATTCGTAGACGTGAGGAATCAGTTTCTATTCTCAATCCCGTCTCTTTGATCTTGGCATGTTACTCTTTTCCCCAACTTTCAGGCGTGAGAAAGTAAAGCGCAGACGAGCTCTAGCTGCCAAGGAAGAAGCCAAGAAAGCAACCAAGGTTGATGTTGCCGATGCAAAACAGCCACCCAATTTAGCAGAACTATCTAAGGGTTTACCATCTGGTTGGCAGGTGTATATCTCCTCTTTATTCATAATCTTTAACAGAAGACCGAAGGGTATTGCATTTTTTTGATATTTCGATTTCCTTTCCAGGTATATTGGGATGAAGCATCAAAACAGGTCTATTATGGCAATGCTGTTACTTCTGAGACGTCCTGGACAAGGCCGACAAATTGACAAAAGAAATTTTTTCTATATTGACAATTGGGTCTATTGAGGCTGTGTCCAACAGATTTTGTAATGTCACCCTTTGTTCTACAACCGCATTACGCACAGACTGTCGGCTATTCATCTGGAGCTCAAGTAGGGATTCTTCATCGTGCTCTGGCTGGCATGTATGAAAGGACCACAAATTTGTTTCTTGAGGAAAATTCCACAAGCTTTTGCTAAGTTTTGGTGGTTCAGCTTCAGCTAAAGTTGATTTTCCTCAATCACCCCTGATTGGCTAATTTCTTTCTAGTGCTTGAATTATTACTATTATGTGCCTTAGGCCAAGTCCAATGCAAAACCCCAAATTTGGGGGCCTTGAACCCCAAATTTGGGGATTGTACCCCATTTTCCCTTCTTTTGCTCCAATGCAACAAACTCCATATTTGGGGTTCTTAATATTTCCAGTTTTTCTATTTACTTAAAAATGTACTTATCGTAACCTTAATATAATTTATTCATGTTAATTTTTGTATAGTTCGTCATCATTTTTTAATACAAATTTTTCGATAGAATTTTGTTAAATTTCGAGTCCGAATTTTTTTGACAAAAAATTATGTACCTAATTTGGGTTTACACACAACACTTGAAAATGATTGATATAATTAAATCCCTAATTAATTCCCTAATTAAACTCTCAATTAACCTCCAAAATCTTAAAAAGAAAAAGAAAAGCCACGTGGCGGGCTTTGGTGAGCCTCCATATTTGGGGGATCTTCATTTCCACCTCCAAATTTGGAGTTCCATATGCAGGATCCTCCATTTTTGGAGATCCAAACCTCCCCATTGGACCATCTCCTCCTCCATTTTTGCAGATTTCCCCATAAATGAGGTGCCCATTGGACTCAGCCTTACATTGTTAAGCAGGTATAGCCATATATATGACACAAAAACTTGTGACAGGGTGAAAAACAAATTTTGGTTGCTAGCTTTAGCTAAATCTATTTGCCTCAATAAGCAATATACAGGTATTCCACCTATATTTCGACTTCAAATTCTATAATCAACATACAAAGAATACTATCAATGGGAAAGGCAGCATACACATTCATCTCCTCCTACGCTCTGAATAATCATATTCGCTCTCCTAGAAATGCAAGAAAGCCGAAAAGAAAAAAACCACCAGACCAATTCCCTCCACCGCCACCTCCCCTCTCCACCGCCGCCTCCACCATCACGAGGTGGAAGTCCAGGCCCGCCATCATCAAGGTGAGGAGTCTTTGTTGGTTCTGGAGTTCAATAAAACATTGCAGTAAGCATGTGTATAACAATACCAAGAGAAACAAACACAGAACAGTTGCTCAAATTCTCCATGTATAGTATACGGAGGACTACAATGACGATACAGAAGAACATTAATAATCTCCGATCACATTGGCCTCATATACACTGGTCATTAGAGTACTGAACAGAACATCTGAACCGGTTAGATACGGTTCATTGAAATGTAATGTCATTTACCAAATGGGAAAAAAGCCAGTCAATTCGTGGTTGCACTACGCAGCATCTAACTGTCACCATTATTTCCATGTATGATGACCATGTTCAATCTTGTACACCAACTACCTACACTGAGCTCAGTGGCGGATCCAGAAATTTTATATAGCGGTGCCCTCTCCTAAAAATTAAGTTAAAATAATTATTAAATAAGAAAATATCTGACTTGTCCAAAGGAAAACAAAGCACATGACGTGTTTCGTACTTTGGAAAAATTGTAAAATACAATCAGTGTCCAACAATGCTCTATAAATCTCTCTCGATATATCCTACTAGACTAGGGGAGCCCGTAATTGGGTTTAATCGTTAGCTTTTGAAAATAATTGGGATAAAAAATAGTTTTTTACTATTATATTTGGATTTGAAATACAAGAACAAATGAGTTATAGTCTAATGAAAAATATGTTTATTAATAGTAGCATCGACCCAAGTTCAAATCACATAAGCAACCACTTAAATGTTTATATTTACTCATACACAAACTACTATTGGGGAATTATAATCGTTTTTCCAAATTTTAGGAGTGTCCCGCCACCACTTAAATATTTTTTTTTTTACCTATATGCAAATTATTATTGAGGGTTGAATAATCGTGTTTCCAAATTTTAGGAAAGATTGATCCGAAGGGTACTAAAGAACTTCACCTTGTTTCTCCCTATCATTGTGGGAACTTGCATCTTTATTTTCTTCTGGTGAAGAAGAGAGCTTACAATTACAAAACCAAGGAAACTGGCTGGAAAACATCATATTCTAAGATTCAAACCCATTCCCTAACAAGGAATCAAAATTCTTACGAACATACTCATAATTATAAGAGCACAAAAAAAGGCAATAATGCACCAAAATTATAAAGAAGGCTTTCTAATCTCACCAGAGCAGCTGAGCATATGATAACAGCAGAACGACTTCGCATGGGCTCGTACAATGGCTTTACTGAAAGCCTCTCTGAGCTAGACATCACAAGCTTATCATTTGACCTTGCATCCATTCCCCAGGCTCGCTTTTACAGCAGAACATGAAAAATAGAAGTGCACAACATCAATTCTTAGCTTCATAATTGAGCAAACAACAAAACTGGTTGAGCGGATTCTTGGTGCTCTAGAACTAACACAAACATGTTATCATCTCAATCGCTACAGTTTCACTCTTTTAACGTTCCACCAAATGCTCGATCGATCCAAGGAAATACCTGGCGCGATCAGTGGTAAGGAGGCGGCAGCAGCTTGCGCAACAGACATCCTGAGATATGATGAACAGACTGTGGAGTTATCCGCCAATGTGCTGATATATGATGAACAAGCGAATAATCCAACCTACAGAGGAAGAAACCAACCGCAAATTGTTCATCAATCCGGAATGAACGGGAGAAAAAAACTAGGATAAGAAAGATAGATGAAACTGAGAACTAACCCAGAAGCGAAATCAGGGACGGCTTTCTATTTTTGACGTGAAATTTGACTAGTGCGAGAGAAACCGGAAACGAAGGTGATTGCATTACGATTAAAAGGATCGCGCGCGAAAGGAAGAGACAATCTGTTGATTTTCGTAAGGAATAGTGCGCCGGAGCGGCGGCTTGAGAAAAAGGTTTTCAGCCGGCGGGAAACATACGGTGCCACTCCAGAGGCAGTTGAGGAAGTGGAGGCGCGCTGGAATATATATACAGCCAGTAAGTCGGGTTGCGTGTTTGACCCGACCATCAATAGATCAAATCAACCCGCACCGACTCATTTTTACACGAGGGATAACCGGTAAAATTATTGATAAAATTAATCAACCTGACACAAGGGATAATTAGTTGGGTGCTGTGCTGGAAGAGATATGTCATTATTTTTATGCCTATTCTAGGTTTAGTGTGCGATTTATAGGTCGAGAGAACAATAAGGTAGCTCACTCAGTAGCTAGAAAATGCCTCTCTTTGTATCCGACTGTAGGTTGCTTCTTTGATTTCCGAGTCTGATTGATATCCAGGATGTAATCATCTATTTGTTTGGATTAATATATGATATCTTTTGAAAAAAAAAAAAAAACACTTAGCTCCATTGCCCTTCTCCACCAAGCAAGGCAATAGCAGTCGGGAAAGTACAATCACTAACCAATTGAAGTTAAAATCGAGTTTGTTACTCATGATGTGATTCTAGTAAGAATGTTAACTAAATCAAATGAGATTTGATAAATTTCTTCGTTAAGATTGTATGATTAGAATTCTCGACAGTAACATCAATAAATAAAGTAGGGATAATATATATTTGTACAACAAGCTAATTTGGGTACAACCCAAGCTTTACATTAGTAATTAATTCAATATACACTACGGAAAAAGTGGCCTTTGGCAACACTCGAAATGTGTTGCAAGAAGTACCGAAAGTGTTGTATATGTATTATGCAACACTTTTAGCAGTGTCCTCTATAGGTGGTGTTGTATAAAGTAATAGGTGACACTTTTGACACTTTTTGCAACAACAAAAAATGTGTCGCATAAGTATACCTTATATGCAACACAATTTCACATATACAACACAATTTTAGGCAACACTCTAAAAAATATACGCAACACTTTTTGACATGTATACCTAACATGTATAAGGTTTATTTGTAACTGGGTGTTTCGTCACATAAGACATACTCAATTGTGACAACTTTCTGAGTGTCACAAATACTTTACACTTGTGACAAGTTTCGTGCCGTCACCACATTTATTTCACTTGTAACCATTTTTAGTTGTCACAAACAATTCCTGTTTTTTGCCATCATTTTATCACAATAGGAGGTTTTTGCGACAGTGGTAACTGTCACAATAGCACACTTCTGTGATTAATGTTTTAGTCACTCCTGACACTATTTGTGACGTCTATTCATTGTAAGAGTAGTATATATTAGTGACGATATGATATATGATACATAAGTGACGATAATGATACATTGTAGTTTTTTTTTTGTCACGAATGACAATAATGGTGAAGATTGTGCATTGTACCAAATAGTATAGTATAAATTTGATCTGTCACAAAAAGTGATTTCTGTGACAAATATTGTCATTACAAAATACAACAATGGCGTGGATTTGACTCGTAACACAATACATTTTACATAAAATTTGTCACGTATAACTCATTTAGTGACAAGAACTATGGTAATAAAAATATTAATGGAGAGTCTTGCACACAATTCTTCTGACTGATTATGAGTCTCATCGGAATGATATACTTCATCTATCGATTGGGATCTTATCTCATCACTGTCAGAATTCATTGATTTGGCTTGTCGTTCTTGAGTTTCCCTTGCCCTTTTGGCCGAGTAAGCAATATAATCGGAGCTCATGATTCCTATCAATATATAGAACTCTGAAAATAATATTAGTTTTAGGAAGAAGATTTGTACAATACCTAATTAACAGTATGTCAACACTAACAAAAACTTCAATCGAGAGAGCAGTGTACTTGAGTCTTGAGATTGACGGTAACGAGGATGGCATCTAGGAACAGGAGATGACGATGGAACAGGAGCAGGGTTTTGCAGAAGAAGGACTTCGGCAGATGAAGGTTTTTTATTCTATGGGAAAGATTGGATTAATAGTAGTGAATTTTATATTGATATAGAATAGGAAGAGTTGAGATCTTTTTATGGGTTGGGAGATTCTTAAAGAGCTATTTTTGCGGAAAATTTATTGGATTTATCGTACTTAAGGGAAGAGCTTTTATTATTGAAGAGATGAACGAATAAAAAATATTATTGCCTACAATTGTTTTACGAGGAAAAATACAGTCCATAATTTTTACTTTATGGTTGTACACGATGATAATAGGTAATTTACTAGAATAAAGTACTTGGAATTGAGACTTACCTAATTAGTGATCAATTGTTACATTGTTTGTCAATTAATAAATATCGCCTCTTATGCCAAAGCTTCTGTACTAAGATTATTTAGTAAATCTAATAGAGTTGTTAATTTACTAAATATATGCTATGTCACATTTTATCCATATGATTATCAAATCGAAAGAAAATTAAATATCGTAGAAATGTGTACGAGTCTCCATGACTATTCTCAAAGAGGTTGACCATGATGCATACGAGTCTCCATGACTCGTTGGTCTGATAAATTAGCACTTATTCAAGGTGGAATTATAAAATCTCAAATTTTAATTGTGTTAAAAATATTCAAGGATTCTACCAAAAAAAACTATTCAAGGAAAACATTATATAAAGTGTGGAAGTGTGGAAGTATGCCACTTTAATGTTTTTCCTAGCTAGGATGAATAGAAAATATTCAGGGAGAGAATTAGATAATATAATTGGCCAAATGGCAAATAACCATTCAAATAATTATTTTGGCGAAATACTTTATGCTAAGGCTGGAAGTTCGGATTGATAGGCTCTTTTTTGTTTTGTTAGGAAGAATATAAAAATCAATATTAAGTATATTTTACCATAATTATCTTCGAGATATGGATGATCCGATGGGAAGTGAAAAATTCAATAGTATTTATTAATAATAATAAAGGTATAACGAGGTTTGGTCATTTGTAGTGGAGGTTCTTTTATGTTTTGTTCTTCAATTGTAGTGAGAGTTCAAGTTAATTTGAAATTCACATACTTAGTTAATATAAATATAATAATTCATATACTTATTTAATATACAATCATATTATTAATTATTATAATTATAGTTCATATACTTAATTAATACATAATAATATTCTTGATTAATATAATAATTTTAATTAATAACAAATATCAAATTGGTACAATATGTTACATTTTTTACAAAGTGTTAGTCTAAATATTAGAATATGTAACACAAGTTATTTTATTGTACAAGTGTTGCATATTATTAACAATATGCAACAAAAATTATCATGCTGCTGATTTGTGTTGCATAAAATATATATTAAGGGACACAAAATGAAAGTGTTGCATAAGATATATATTAAGCGACACAAAATGAAACTGTTGCCTATATTTATTTTATGCAACACTTTTTAGAAGTGTTGCAGGACAAGTGTTGCGTAAAGCCACTTTTCACGTAGTGATATCATCCAAATAAATTAACTTGGCATGCAAGAGTCCTTGAACAGAACCCATCAAAACCAAGATGGAAACAATCAAGCAGCCCAAGCTAAAACTCTTAAGAAGGACCCATTCCTTGGTCCAAGCTCCAATTCTCCTCTGGACCAGGTACATCTCCACGGGGAAGTAGATGGACAAAGGCCAGAAGTTGAACCCTCCAAGCACTCCTAGAATTTGGTTGAAGTAAGGGAAAGCCATGGCCGTGGTTGTTGTCGATCGACGCCACATACGCTGTCCTGTAGCACAACCTGAAGGCACTTACATTCCACACATGTTTGGGACACCATGGCAGGCTCAGGCTCAGGCTCAGGCTCAGGCTCAGGCTCAGGCTCAGCTTGTAGTGGTTGTTGACGAACCCGCTGTGAGGGAAGTTCCGGCTAAACCACCCTTCAGCGAATGCGAAAACGGGCTGACAGACAATACATCTGGTAGCCTCCCAGTCCCACCAAGTGGACAACGAACGACGCAAGCATTTGCCAAGTCGATGATCCGGTAGGGTTCGTAGAATCCGAACCCTGTCATGTCAGGAGATTGCCAGGAGTACTGTCGTCTCCAAATGCAGCGTAACCAAAGCATCCACAGCAGAGGTACAAGAACGTTGCGATGAGCATTGCCGTCCCCGAAGCCTCCTTCATCGTCTTCTTCTCCGCCGGTACTGGTGACCTCACAGTATCCTGTACATTAATTCATATTAACTAACTATATTGTTACTTACCCCGCATCGATGCATGCATGGTTAATAAGAACGTACGTAACGTGCATGCCAAACACAATGAATTAATTAATTACCTGTATCTCGAGATGAACGAGGGAGTAAGGGTAAGCATATACAATGTCTCCAATGGCTTGAAATGCTAGCCATGTTTTGGCACCAGCAGCAGGGGCAGGGACCCCGGTTATGCTTCCTTTGATCTCTCCATTCTCTGCTTAATTAATTAATTTCCAAAATGACTTAGCAATTAGAATGCATGCACAGATGATATAGTATCATATAGGGTTATAGGTATAATATGCTCTTCTATTATGACGCTTTATCAAACATAACCCTCTACTATTTTTGACATCAAACATGCCCCTATACTTTGGAAAACTTATCAAACATGCCCTTTTGTTAAAATTTTCATCCATAATCTGTTAACCAAGACCGAACTTTGGTTTGAGCGACCCAAATATCTAAAATATCCCTAATAATTTCACTTTAAAGTTTTTTTTTGTTCTTTTGTATAGCCAAATAATTCTAATCATTTCACTTTGATGAGACCTAGAGAAATAAAACAAGGGTCAAAACTGACGTTTCCCCTCCCATTTATTGATGATCAGGTCGTCTAAATCTCGGTTCAACCATGATTGCCGATTTTTTCGATGGAAATTTCAACTGAAGGGCATGTTTGATAGTTTTTCCAAAGGAAGGTTTTCCAACAAAGAAAAAATCTCTCTCTCTCCCTAATAGACCCACCCCGAAGATGAACACTCAAGGGAATATCCCACAAGATGGACTCACCAGAAATAGAGAAGCAGTAAGCAACACGAGAGCTCCTGGATTCCGAAGCAGCGCACACCCTCGAAAATTCATCATAGGCGAGTTCCTTTGATCCAAACATCGTACCAGAAAGAAGTCCAGTGACCACTTCCTTGTTCCACCTGAGCCAAAGCCCAAAACTTATCCCTAAGTTTCATAACCTAAGACCACGGACTGCAGCCCAAACTTCTGATAGCTCCGCCCGGAGACCATTCAGTCGATAAAGGAGGAAATTTAAAAGCAATCAATTCTCGCCACCAGGTTTGTCTCTCATTAGCGAACCGCCAAAGCCACTTTAGGATGAGAGCCTGGTTATGGAGCATCAGATCGCAGATTCCCAGCCCACCACGATCCTTGGCCGTTTTGCATAAATCCCAAGACACAAGATGAAATTTATCCTTATCCTGCGTACCAGACCAAAGGAAGTCTCTCTGAACTTTCTCTAGACCTTTCACAATTCCAACAGGGATAAGGAAAAGAGTAGAGCTCACGTAGCTACACTGACTTGCCAAGATTGAGTTGATCAAAACAACCCTGCTGCCAATAGAGAGGAACTTTCCTTTCCAGCCCTCAACCTTGGTCTGGTTTTAGAAATCACTATGTTCCAGATTGATGGAGAAGACGGGTGAGCACCCAAGGGAAGTCCCAAATAGGTTGAAAGGAGGAAAATCCGATTGCATTCAGGATCTCGGCAAACCTCTCGACATTCTGCACATCTCCCACCGGGAATAAACAAGTTTTTTCCAGATTTACTTTAAGGCTGGTGATGCTTTGAAAGAACGCAAGGGCGGCCATCACATTCATCGCTTCGGACTCATTGGCCTCACAGAAGATGATGGCGTTGTCAGCGTACAACAGGTTAGTCACTTCCCCACGTCTTCTTTCCTCGTTGATGTAGAAGCCCGACAATAGTCCAGCTTCGCTGATCTTACTGTTAGATGTACTTAGATGAGCTCCGGCCAATCTCAACAGTCAATTTTTGTTGCATGAGGTTCATCCATTAGAGGTTAGAGTATAATATCATACCCCAAACTCGATTTAATTCATGGTCTAGATAGAGATATCTCATTAGTAGTACTGGATGTATAACCTTCAATTTTGAATTCTATTCCTAAACCCTAACCTAACCCTAAATCTTTCAAATTAAAGTAAATCTTTAATGGTTATTGTGCAAATTCATGTGCGTTATTGTTAATCATATTATAAGTGATGATCGACATCGTTTTCACATAAATAGCATGTTTAAAATAATGATTATGAAGTGAATGCACTGGAGACGTTACCATATATATATATAGAAAGAGACAAAGAAGAAGTTAAGTACCGAGGTAGAGGTGGACAGCGTCCAATAAGGAACGAAGGCGACGGGGGCCCAGCTCAGGGTCAGGGTAACGGTAGCAATCGCTGAGGATGGTGTAGGGGTGGGCATTCGGTCGGTTCGGTTTTGACCGAACCGAAATTATGAATACCGGGTCTCCGAATTCTCCCAAACCTCAAACCGAATTATAATTCGGTTCGGTCGGTTTAAACCGAACTATAATTTGGTTCGGTTCTGTTTTCCACACAAAACCGAATTTGTGAAACTACTTGTATTTTCTCACTTTTAAATTATTTTTCACCCCTAATATAAACAATAAATTCAATTATATGCATCATCAATGATAAAATCAAACTTTTCAACACATAAGTCATAAAACATTTCAAATATTTAAGTCTAAAAACAACTACAAACACAAAATTCCACCATTTGGAGCTTGCAATTATAGTATTTCGGTTTTTCGGTCGGAAATTCGGTTCGGTTGAAAGAATCCTGATTTCCGAACTATCCATATTTGCCTTCCGAATTCCGAACCGAATAGCATTAATTCAGTTTCAGTTCGGTTTAATTCGGTTTCAGTTCGGTTTGATTCGGGTTTACCGAACCGTTTGCCCAACCCTAATGGTGGCGGATACGTAAGTGACACCGGCGAAGGCCATCATGGACAAAGGCCCAGCGATCCAACCCAGCTGCGCCACCGCCCATGGCAGCGATAGCACTCCTGCTCCGATCACCGCCGTTATTATATGCAACACCGTCGTCCATCTCGAACCTATATATTATATATATATACATACATGTCCCAAAACGTGCAACATTCACTTAAAGTTTAGATTCTAGACCAGTTTCCGCATTCATAACCAGTTTCAGGGCCAAAAACAATATTGTCTCGGTTTCCTCTTTGTTCATTTTTATGAGTAGTTATTAATTAATCCAAACAAGTTAAGAATTAATTACGTACGGAAACGACAAACCATGTGCCAACCAGCTCACCTCAGTTAAGAAACAAATCATTGTACACAAAATACTAAACAATTCTTTCCGATCAATTAAGTCCATCATTTTCTGACGTTCAAACCAAGAATAAAAAGGTAGACGAAGGACGATCGAATCAATAAATTAATTACTTACCGGCTCGGTTGACGAGGTCGGGCGGCAGCTGCCATTTGTGGTTTGAGATGTCGAGGTCGGACTCTTCTGACGGTAAGGAAGATGGATTGCAAACAGCAGCAACAGTAATACTACTAATTCCAGCTTGGTAATCATTAATCACTAATGGCGACCACAGATCTTCCTCCATAAATCTTCTTCCCCCCCACCACTGTACCACTACTAGGTACTGTTGCTAGATAGAAGGCGGCTGCCTCCCTTCTAATTCTTCTTTTTTCTGCGAACCCAGCTATGTAGCTGCCGAATGAGAGAGATCGATGTGGTCGAAGTGAACCAACAGAGCGTTGAAGCCAAGGAAAGAAACAAGGAAGGAAAAGAGGGATTAATTAGTTTAATTAAGAGCATGATGGTCGGCGAGGGTATTAGCTAGCCTAGCTAGGTGGGTAGCCATAAAAATAAAATGATTGTATATATAGCAATATAAAAATATTGTAACACATGCACGTTGATTGATTCAAAGATTTTGAAGTTGGAAATGATGACAAATTTTTTTATTACCCAGAAACATAGCGTGATCTACGGAGTACCTGCACTCGGATGTCTTCGGGAGGACCAAATAATGTAGTAGGTTCGAATCTGAGACCTCATACATCTCAACCTCCTCGAAACACCACACTCCCCATGTACTCCGCTGTGTTACCTTTAGTGGAGTTGATGTCAAATTAACTCTAAACTTTCCCTGAAAAAGAAAATTAGCTCTAAAATCTGGAGGCCCACACGGAGGCCCATGAACCCAAAGTCACTCCCTCATCCATGGTGCAAACTGAAGGCCCAAATAAAACCCCCTTTCTTTTCTTACCGACTTTTGTCCCTTCTGTAGAGAAAACGGGGCTTATGAAGTGTGTTTTTAAGTACAAATAGGAAGCATATATATATCAACAGAGAGAGACACACAATTGCATTGCTTATAGAACAACAATAGTTTCCAAGACTAGATAATTGATTAATTAGTTCATCCAAACTTGGCACTGAAAAGTCCTTGGATAGAACCCATGAGAGCCAAAATGGAGACAATCAAGCAACCCAAGCTAAAGGCTCTGAGAAGGACCCATTCCTTAGTCCAAGCCCCAATTCTCCTCTGGACCAAGTACATCTCGACGGGGAAGTAGATGGACAATGGCCAGAAATTGAGGCCTCCAAGCACTCCTAGAATCTGGTTGAAGTAAGGGAAGGACATGGCTATGCCAGTGCTCACGGCCACATATGCAGTTCTGAAGCACAACCTTAAAGCAGTGAGGGTGACGTGTTTGGAGGAGGGGAGACTGAGGTTGTAGTGCTTGTTGACCAAGTTGCTGTCAGGGAACTTGCTGGTGAACCATGCTTCGCCGTACGCGAACACCGGCTGGGCGTACATCTGGTAGGCACCCACCAAGTGGAGAAGGACGCAGGCGTTAGCGAAGTCGATGAGCCAGTAAGGCTCGTAGAATCCGAACCCAGAGAGGAGATTGCCGGGAGTTGCCACTCCAAATGCAGCGTACCCAAAGCACCCGCACGCCAGGTAGAAGAAGGTGGTGATGAATATTGCCGTCACCGACGCCTTCTTCATCGTTTTGTTCTCGGCCGGCGGGGACTTCAGAGTGTCCTATATATATATATATATAAGTTCATTTAAGACAACAAAAATCGTTAGATAAGTCGTCGTTTTTGAATAATTAATTAATTAAGAAGTATATATATGGCAAGCAAGTAAGTAAGTAATTACCTACCTGTATCTCGAGCAGTATAAGAGAGTAAGGATACGCAAATGCGATGTCCCCAATGGCTTGAAACGCTAGCCATATTTTGTCGGCAGTGTTGGCAGCAGGCACGCCGGTCATGCTCCCTTTAATCTCTCCATTCTCTGAGACTCAACACAAGCTAGCCAGTTTTAATTATGTATTAATCCATTAGTATAGTATAGTATAGAACGTACGTACCAATGACTTTGGCGAAGCCGAGGCCGAATCCAATGACGGCATAGGCAAAGGACATGATGGCTGCGAGGATGGAGAGCCATTCCATGTTATGGAAATCCGGAATCTGCGACATTACTACTTGGACAACCCCGAACGCCAGCATGTTATACCCGTCCCCGTAGCTGTTGCAAGGAGCTTGGTGCCCTTCCTTGTGATAACAGTTGGATTCCCGGATGGCTCTATACTCCATCCATCCATCGCACAATAATAATATAATTAATTAATGGCTAATCAAATGATAGTGCAATCGAGCTTGATTCGTGTGGCAAATTAAATAAATTTGAATGATGAAACGTAGCTACCTAACCTACCTGATGCTGGTGGCGGAGGTGATGGTGTAAGCAATTGCAGTGCCGAAGAGGTTTGCCTGGACAAGTACTCCACCAGCTTTCTGGCTCCTTTCTCCTGCAACCATAAAATGCATCCTTATTATATATGTACCCTACCTACGCATCTACAGATAGATCGATCGACTAGAGTAGTACGTGGTTGCACTTGCATTGCATATATATATGGGATCAGGAAGAAGAATTGAAGGGAGCTAGCTAGGGCCTAGGAGTAGTAATTAGTAATTAATTCACGTACCGAGGTAGTGGTGGACGGCGTCCAAGAAGGAGCGGAAGCGGCGTGGGCCCACCTCAGGGTCAGGGTAACGATAGCAATCGCACAGGATGGTGGCGGAGACGTACGTGATTCCAGCGAAGGCCATCATCGACAATGGTCCGGCGATCCAACCAAGCTGCGCCACCGCCCATGCCAGCGACAGCACTCCAGCCCCTATCACCGCCGTTATTATATGCGCCACCGCCGTCCATCTCGTTCCTATTTTTATATTTTTAATTTCACAATATTGTATATTATATTTATATATGTGTTTGAATTAAAATAGAGACACAAAATAATCATCGTAATTAATATTACATATATTATAATCTTAAATGAAAAAAATAAAGCTTCATTAATTGCAAGTGGCTCCACCACTATTTATTTGACTTGTTATTCCTAATTTGGTTGATTTGACAATTGACATGCTGATATTAACAATTTAAATGAAAGACTGGATGATAATACCAATGTATGAAGCGATTGTCTTTCTATTCTAGCTAGTTACGGTGAGAACTTTAGTTAAAATACGAAGTCCGGTGACTGACTCAAGGGGGAGTCCAAAGTTAAGTGAGCACTATGTAATTGACCCCTTACTTTTCTTTATCAAACAATAATTAACCATTCTAATGTAATTGTGTACGGAAAAGACAAACTCAAAGCACGATCACCAAACCAGCTGCTAGCTGGCTGCTTTCCGGCCCGGCGGGTTCTAATAAAACAAGCCAGTTAATTAATTAATTTGGACATTTCAACGATACATAGATTAACAGTACCCTCTCTCTCTCTCTCTACCCATTATTTACCGTTTGTTCATCAGCATCTTCCATTAATGTTGACGTACATTTCTCAGCCAGAAAGCAAAAAAACCAGCAGAGGAAAATAATTACCAATTTAATTACAGGATGAAAAATAGATAATACTCAATGAAAATTGAAAAGGATTATTTGATTAATTTACCAGTTCTGTGAACGAGATCGCCTTGCTGCTGCTGCAGCTGTTTCTGCTGGGAGATTGGATCTTCTTCTTCTGATGATGATGATGATGAAACAGCTGCAGATAAACTTGCAGTGGATATGATAGCTTGATGATGCTCATCATCATTGGTAACTAATGGCGATTCTTCTTCCTCCTCCTCTTCCACTGCTGCACTGCTAATTTTACCCATAGATAATAGAGATCGATGTAATATATATGTCGCCTTTATTAGATTGCGCAAACAATTAATTAAGCTCTTCCGCCTCCTATATATGCCTTCCCCGCAAAACCAGCTGCTGCTGAGATATTTGGTTGGTATAGGAAGGAAATGAAACAACCAGAGGAGAGGAGAGGGTTGAATCTTTGCCAAAGAAAAAGAGAGATCCAGAGAGAGAAAGAGAAAAAAGGGAGATTGATTGGGTTCGGTTGGGTCCGGGGGAAGAGAAAGAAGGTTAGTTGGGTAATCGACCAGTACTGCACGCTAGCTGTTTTCATCGACCCCCCCAAATTATGTTTTCTTTTTCTTTAGCTTTAATCCTCTCTCCTCTCTCTCTCCATTCCATTGCGTCCAAATTAATATTCACACTTCTTAAATATTCTTTTTTCCTTTGGAAATGTTATTATTTCCCGATTTTGAAGCTTATTGCATCACAGATTTTGATTTATTTTTAAAATGCTATTTTTCATCAATTTTGAAGACTATCTATCACATATTTTGACAATTTTTTTTAATGTTAATCGACTTAATCATCGTTGAAGAATAGTCTCAGAATGAATCCGTATTTTGTAGCCTTCAAAATACAAGGAAAATGGCATTTCGAAAAAAATTCCCAAAAAATTGTGGTAATGCCATCCGAAAATGAATTCCTTCAAATCAGTGCTTCAGGGACTTAATCATCGGTGGATAATAGGATCAATAAACTTCATTATCTGTGAAGAATAACCTCGGGCTGAATCCGTGATCTGTAGCCTTCAAAATCGAAAGAAAATGACATTTAGGGAAAATCGCCCGAAATCGGTGATGGTACCCTTCGGAGTCTGCCAAAAGTGGACCTGGAAGAAATCCTTCCAAATCGGTGCTTAATGGACTTAATCATCGTTGAATAATAGTCTCAGGTTGAATCCGTGATATGTAGCCTTCAAAATCCAAGGAATATGACCTTTTGAAAAAACCCCCATAAAATTGAGAAAATGTCATCTGAAAATGAATTCACCCAAATCAGTGCTTCTTGGACTTAATCTTTGGTGGAGAATAGGATCAATAGACTTCTTATATGTGGAGAATGGCCTCGTGATGAGTCCGTGATCTGTAGCCTTCAAAATCAAAAGAAAATGACATTTCGGGAAAATCGCCCGAAATCATGATGGTACCCAATTGGAGTCTGCCAAAATTGGACGTGAAAGAAAACTGTCAAAATTGGTGCTTAATGAACTTAATCATCGTCGAAAAATAGCCTCAGGCCGAATCCGTGATATGTAGCCTTCAAAATCCAAGGAAAATGCCCTTTCGAAAAAAATTGGCCAAAAATAGCAAAAATTCATTCCAAAAATTAATTCACCGAAATCGGTGCTTCATGGACTTAATCTTCGGAGGAGAATAGAATCAATAGACTTCATTATCTGTGGAGAATAGCTTCGGGCATAATCTGTTATCTATAGCCTTCAAAATCTACTGAAAATTGCATTTTGGGAAAATCGCCCGAAATCAAGTGATGGTACCCCTTTGTAGGGGTGGGCATTCGGTCTGTTCGGTTTCGACTGAACCGAAATTATGAATACCGGGTCCCCGAATTCTCCCAAACCTCAAACCAAATTCGAACCGAATTATAATTCGGTTCGGTCAGTTTAAACCGAATTATAATTCGGTTTGGTCGGTTTAAACCGAATTATAATTCGGTTCGCTTTTTCACATAAAACAGGATTTGTGAAGGTACTTGTATTTTCTCACTTTTAAATTATTTTTCACCCTAATATAAACAATAAATATCAATTATATGCATCATCAATGATAAAACCAAAAATTTCAACTCATAAGTCTTAAAACATTTCAAATATTTAAGTATAAAAACAACTACAAACATAAAAATCCATCATTTGGAACTTGCAATTATAGTATTTCGGTTTTTCGGTAGGAAATTCGGTTCGGTTGAAAGAGCCCTGTTTTCCGAACTCTCCATATTTTCCTTCCGAATTCCGAACCGAATAGCATTAATTCGGTTTCGGTTCGGTTTGAGTTTACCGAACCGTTTGCCCACCCCTACCCCTTTGGAGTCTGCCAAAATGGATCGGGGAAAAATCCGCCCAAATCGGTGCTTAATGGACTTAATCATCATTGAAGAATAGCCTCAGGCCGAATCCGCGATCTGTAGCCTTCAAAATCCAAGGAATATGAACTTTAGAAAAAAATTGTCCAAAAAATTACAAAAATGCAATCCGAAAATGAATTCGCGCTAATTGGTGCTTCATGGACTTGATCTTCAGTGGAGAATAGGATCAATAGACTTCATTATCGTTGAACAATAGCCTCAGGTTGAATCCGTGATATGTAGCCTTCAAAATCCAAGGAAAATGGCCTTTCGAAAAAAAAATTCCCCAAAAAATTGCGAAAATGCCATCCGAAAATGAATTGGGTCAAATTAGTGCTTCATGGACTTAATCTTCGGTGGAGAATAGGATCAATAGACTTCATTATTTATGGAGAATAGCCTTGGGCAAATTTGTGATATGTAGTTTTCAAAATCTAAAGAAAATGACATTTAAGGAAAATCGTCCTAAATCGATGATGGAGTCTGCCAAAAAATGGACCGTGAAGAAATCCGCCCAAATCGGTCCTTAATATACTTAATCATCCTTTGAAGAATAGCCTCAGGCAGAATCCATGATCTGTAGCCTTTAAAATCCAAAGGAAATTACATTTCAAATTCCCCCCCCCCCCCCCCAAAACTTAGAAAATGCCACCCGAAAATGAATTCGCTAAAAACGGTGATTCATGGACATAATATTCGGTGGAGAATAGGAACAATATACTTCATTATTTGTGGAGAATAGCCTCGGGCCAAATTCGTGATCTGTAGACTTCAAAATCTAAAGAAAATGGCATTTAGGAAAAATTGCCCGAAATCTGTGAGGGTACCCCTTCGGAGTCTGCCAAAAGTGGACCCGGAAGAAATCCTCCCAAATCGGTGCTTAATGGACTTAATCATCGTTGAAGAATAGTCTCAGGCTGAATCCGTGATATGTAGCCTTCAAAATTTAAGGGAAATGACCTTTTGAAAAAAAATCCCCAAAACTTCTTCCCACTTCTCCTTTTTCCTTTAACACGCTAGTGCCCGAATCTCGTTATCCTATCTTTGATACTTATTGAGAAAATGTCTTTCGAAAATGAATTCGCCCAAATCAGTGCTTTGTGGACTTAATCTTCGGTGGAGAATAGGATCAATAGACTTCATTATCTGTGGAGAATATCCTTGTGCTGAATCCGTGATTTGTAGCCTTAAAAATCATTAAAAAATTACATTTCAGAAAAATCGCCCGAAAAAGTGATCGTACCCCTTTGGAGTATGCCAAATTGGACGTGAAAGAAAACTGCCAAAATTGGTGCTTAATGAACTTAATTATCGTTGAAGAATAGTCTCAGGCCGAATACGTGATATGTAGCCTTCAAAATCCAAGGAATGACCTTTCGAAAAAAATTGCCCAAAAATTACGAAAATTCCATCCGAAAATTAATTCACCGAAATCTGTATTTATTGGACTTAATCTTCAGAGGAATATAGGATCAATAGACTTCATTATCTGTGGAGAATAGCCTCGGGCATAATCCGTGATATGTAGCCTTCAAAATCTAATGAAAATTGCATTTTGGGAAAATCGCCCGAAATCAAGTGATGGTACCCCTTTGGGATCAGCCAAAAATGGACAGGGAAGAAATCCGCCCAAATCAGTGCTTAATGGACTTAATCATCATTGAAGAATAGCCTCAGGCCGAATCCGTGATCTGTAGCCTTTAAAATTCAAAGAATATGGCATTTCGAAAAAAAATTGTCCAAAAAATTACAAAAAAATGCAATCCGAAAATGAATTCGCCCTAATCGGCGCTTCATGGACTTAATCTTCAGTGGAGAATAGGATCAATAGACTTCATTATTGTTGAACAATAGCCTCAGACTGAATCCGTGATATGTAGCCTTCAAAATCCAAGGAAATGGCCTTTCGAAAAAAAAAATTCCCAAAAAATTGCGAAAATGTCATCCTAAAATGAATTCGTTCAAAGCAGTGCTTCATAGACGTAATCTTCGTTGGAGAATAAGATCAATAGACTTCATTATTTAAGAAGAATAGCCTCGGGCAAATTCGTGATCTGTAGCTTTCTAAATCTAAAGAAAATGACATTTAAGGAAAATCTTCCTAAATCAATGATGGTACCTCTTTGAAGTCTGCCAAAAATGGACCGTGAAGAAATCCACCCAAATCGGTGCTTAATGGACTTAATCATCGTTGAAGAATAGCCTCAGGCCGAATCCGTGATCTGTAGCATTCAAAATCCAAGGAAAATGACATTTCGAAAAAAAATTGCAAAAATGCCATCTGAAAATGAATTCGCCAAAATCGGTGATTCATGGACTTAATATTCGGTGGAAAATAGGAATAATAGACTTTATTATTTGTGGAGAATCGCCTCGGGCCAAATCCGCGATCTGTGGACTTCAAAATCTAAAGAAAATTGCATTTCGGGAAAATTGCTCGAAATCGGTGATTGTACCCCATTGGAGTCTGAAAAAATGAACTCGAAACAAATCTGCTTAAAACGCTGTGTAATGTACTTAATCATCATAAAAGAATAGCCTCAAACCGAATTTGTGATCTATAGACTTCAAAATACAATGGAAATGGCATTTCCAAAAAAAAGCCTAAAAAATTGCAAAAATGCCATAAGAAAACAAATTCACTAAAATTGTTGATTCATGGACTTAATCTTCGGTGAAGAATAGGATCAATAGACTTTATTATTTGTGGATAATAGCCTCAGGCAAATCCGTGATCTGTAGCAATCAAAATTTAAAGAAAATGGCATTTCCGAAATATTGCCCAAAATCGGTGATGGTACACCTTTGAAGTCTGCCAAAAATGGACCAGGAAGAAATCCACCTAAATCGGTGCATAATAGACTTAATCATCTTTGAAGAATAGCCTCAGGCAGAGTCTGTGATCTGTAGCCTTCAAAATACAAAGAAAATTACATTTCGGAATTTCCCCCCCCCAAAACTCCGAAAATGCCACCCGAAAATGAATTAGCCAAAATCGGTGATTCATGGACTTAATCTTCGGTGGAGAATAGGAACAATAGACTTCATTATTTTTGGAGAATAGCCTCGGGCCAAACTCGTGATATGTAGGCTTTAAAATCTAAAGAAAATTGCATTTCGAAAAAATCGCCGAAATCTGTGAGGGTACTCCTTCGTAGTCTGCCAAAAATGGACCGGAAGAAATCCTCCCAAATCGGTGCTTAATGTACTTAATCATTGTTGAAGAATATTCTCAGACTGAATCCATGATATGTAGCCTTCAAAATCCAAGGTAAATAACCTTTTGAAAAAAATCTCCAAAAAATTGAGAAAATGTCATCCGAAAATGAATTCGCCCAAATCACTGCTTCTTGGACTTAATATTCGGTGGAGAATAGGATCAATAGACTTCATTATCTGTGGACAATATCCTCGTGCTGAATCCGTGATCTGTAGTCTTAAAAATCATAAGAAAATGACATTTCGGGAAAATCGCCCGAAATCGTGATTCCTTTGGAGTCTGCCAAATTGGACGTGAAAGAAAACTACCAAAATTGGTGCTTAATGAACTTAATCATCGTTGAAGAATAGCCTCGGGCCAAATTCGTGATATGTAGCCTTCAAAATCCAAGGAAAATGACCTTTCGGAAAAAATTTGCCCAAGAATTGTGAAAATGCCATCCAAAAAGTAATTCACCGAAATCGGTGCTTCATGTACTTAATCATCGGAGAAGAATAGGATCAATAGACTTCATTATCTGTGGAGAATAACCTTAGGCCTAATTCGTGATCTATAGCCTTCAAAATCTACTGAAAATTTCATTTCGGGATAATCACCCGAAATCAAGTGATGGTTCCCCTTTGGTGTAATACCCTACCCTATACGTTTTACCTAATCATATTGTTCATACATTTGCAGCGGAAATAATCTCGGGTGTTACATTAATTACCAAAATTTACCCAAATAAAATTTCGACATGAATTACTCGCATAATGGGCTAACAGTTCTTGCATCTAATCCTGCAAAATAATTCATCTGAATCCATGCATTCAATGACAAACATATATACTCACAACCATATAGGCTTTCATAGCCATAGTCACAGTTTCATACTACACAACTGCATACCATATTGATACATGCCATAATCGTCACAACTTACACAATTAAAAAAAATATACATATATCATAAACTTTCCACACCTGTGGATATCTCACACTACATCAGAAGCTAGTATGCACATGAAAAACGTTCTCAAAACATTTTTACAAAAAGGTGTGGATCACTGGCCAAAATCGCGAGTAGTCGTCCAAGCACAGAATAGTTGAAGACCA